GCTAAAAAGGCCAAATTACACAAAGCAATATGCACATTTTATGCAATCCCCATCAAAATCCGTATGGTTGTTTTTTTTTAAATAAATAGGTCAAAAAAATAATCAGATATGTATGGAACCACAAAGGACCCCAAACAGCCAAAGTAATCCTGAGAAAAATGAACAAAGCCACTGATAACACATTTCGTGACTTTAAATTATACTACAGTCCTAGCTGGGTGGATCAGTTGGTTGGAGCGTCTCCCCATACACCAAAATGTTATGGGTTTGATTCCTGGTCAGAGCACACACCTGAGGTGCTGGTTCAATCCCTGGTTGGAGAGATTAGGGGAAGCAACAGATCAATCGATATTGCTCTATCACATCAATGCTTCTCTGCTTCTCTCTCTCTCAAATCAATAGAAACATGTCCTTGGGTGGTACTGACACAAGAACAGGCATAGATCAATGGAGCAGTACAGAGAACCCAGAAATCGAACCAAGACTTTACACTCAATATTTGACAAAGGAGGCAAGAGCATACAATGGAGTAAAGACTGTCTCTTCAATAAGTGGTGTTGGGAAAATTGTACAGGTACATGCAAAAAAAAGAAGCCAGATCACTGCCTCACACCATACACAAGAATAAATTCAAAGATGATAAAAGACTTAAATGTAAGTTGTGAAACCGTAAAAATCCTAGAAGAAAACATAGGCAGCAACATCTCAGGCATCTCTCATAGCAATATGTTTGCCAATACACCTCCTAGAGCAAGGGAAACAAAGGAGAAAATAAACAAATGAGATTACATAAAAATAAAAAGGTGTTAATATTGAAAATATATAGCGCCCTGGCCAGGTGACTCAGTTGGAGCATTGCATAAACCAAAAAGGTTGCAGGTTCGATTACAGGTCAGGACACATAACTATGTTGCTGGTTCAATCCCCAGGGGGAGGGCAAACGATGGATGTCTCTCTCTCACACCAATCCCTCTCTCTCTTTTTCTTTCTCCCCCCTTCCTTTCTCTAAAAAATTAATAAACATACCTATCCTTGGTTGATGATAAAAAATATATATATATAAAAAACTCAGACAACTCAACACCAAACAAACAATCCAATTAAAAGTGGGCAGAGGACCTGAACAGTCACTTCTCCCAAGACAACATACAAATGGCCAACAGATACAGGAAAAGATGCTCAACTTTACTAGTTATTAGGGAAATGCAAATCAAGGCTACAATGAGATACCACCTCACACCTGTTAGAATGCTATTATCAACAAGTAATAAGTGCTTTAGAGGTTGTGGAGAAAAAGGAACCCTCATTCATCCACTGCTGGTGGGAATGTAAAATGGTACAGCCAAAATGAAAAACAGTATAGAGGTTTCTCAGAAAATTAAGAATAGAGCTACCATATTACCGAGCAACCCCTATTCCAGATATCTAGCAGAATACAACACACATTTATTTGCAAAGATACATGCACCCCTATTTCTATTATTTATTTATGCTTTTATCTTGATTATTTCCTTTCTTCTACCTTCTTGGACTTTATTTGCTTTATTTTTTTTCTAGCTTCATAAGGTGGAAACTTACATCATGATTTATACCTTTCTTCTTTTTTAATACACACATTTAAAGATCTAAATTACCGCCTAAATATCTCCACTCAGGTTTTTTTCCAGATTATTTTTCTGTTATTTATGTCTAATTTAATTCTATTATTTTTAGAGACATATTATGCATAATTTCAATCTTTTAAAATTTATTGAGATTTGTTTCATAGCTTGGTATATGGTCTATCTTGGTGAATAAATCATGTAATCACCATACTGTTGTCTGATACTATTGTCTGTGTCTATGAGGTCTTTTTTTCTTTGCTTAATCTCTTCACCTTTCCATTCAACCCCCCAGCCCTCCTCCCGTCTGACAGCTGTCAGTCTGTTTTCTGTATCTCTGAGTCTGTTTCTATTTTGTTTGTTAGTTTATTTATTTTATTATTTATTAAAATATATCTTTATTGATTTGAGAGAGAGGAAAGGAGAGGGAGAGAGAGAGAGAAACATCAATGATGAGAGAGTCATTGATCGACTGCCTCCTGCACGCCCCCGATTGGGGATTGAGCCCGCAACCCGAGCATGTGCCCTGACCAGGAACTGAACCCTGATCGCCTGGATCCTAGGTCAACGCTCAACTGCTGAGCCATGCCCAGCAGGGCTGTTAGTTTATTTTGTTCATTAGATTCCACATATAAGTGCAATCATATGGTACGTGTCTTTCTCTGACTGGAATATCTTTATCACTTCATTTAGTTGTCCTCAGAAGCCACTTTATTTCCTTGTGGTTGGCAAGATGGTTTCCAGTAGCAGTGTGGGCTAGATGTTTCAATGTCAAGAGGATAATCTGTTAGAAACTTTCTCCTAAGCATGAAATGGAAGTTCCTTTAGACTGATTGAGCCAATTTATATCACTTGCTTATCCCTTGACCAATAATCATTCCTAGATGAATTCTGCATGATGAATGGTTTAGAGATCAGTATTATTTCTGATACTGGGAATAGTGTGTCTAACTGGACAAAAATGGGTTTTGTTAAAAAGGGGTATGAGGGGAATAAATATTGGGTAGATACATTATTCACTATGGAGTATTTTTAAAACCATATTAAAAATTTAGATCAAACTTTAGCAGATTTAAGTCCAGTGATAGAAATGTAAATTATGAGTTATCAAGCAAATGGTCAGAAAAACCTTTTTTATGCTTTCTTATTTACAAAGTAAATATGTTTCTATTTCTGGTATAGTACCAGAGTTAATTGATCTGGGGTTCATTTTCATAAATATTATGTAAAGTACATCTATACAAAACCTCATAGCTTTTTGTTAGTTTATTTATTCTGTAAAATATTAAGTTAGGTGTAAGGCATTGCAATCTTAATCTCTTTCCTTGGAAATTTAAGAAATCAATCATCAATGTTGGATCAATTAAGATTACTCAATGTATACCTATTTTATTTCTTCATTTCCTCTGATGTAAGACATCATATAGATAGTCCTTATATTAAAGCATCTCAAATATGATTGATTTATATTATTTCTTTGTAAAAGAGCTATTCTGGGGATTCATTATTTAATGATAGGCCCTTGTGATAATGTACTTAGCCATTAGATTCCAAAGTGATGGAATATATGGATGACAACCTATTTGTCGCATGGAAAGAAAATAACAGAACTTCTATTCATAGTTTTATCTCATCTTTTAAAATTTCGATATCTTAGGACAGTTTTATAGTATGTGTAATATATCAATACCATCCAGAGTACATGTATATAACCTAATTTTTTTCCTGGTAGAGATGTGTGATCAACAGTTTGAAGAGTGAACTTGATTAGCCTGGTTTTGGAATAAAATTTAGGTGACTCACCAATCCTGAGACTTGTTGCTTCATGGAGGAAAGGTATTTGGACTTCAAGTTTGACACTAAAAAAGTAAGTAGTGATAATGATGATGACAGTGATGACAACGGAATTGTAACTGGAACCAACATTTGGCTGCCTGCACCAGGAAAACCGAACTTGTGAGACAGATGCTGGTGAAAAAGGAAAGAGGCTTACTCAAGTACTGGTCATCTGAGAAGATGAGGGACTCTTGTTGCATAGCCATTCTTATCATCTCAGTGCAGAAAGGAGTTTTTATAGGGAGGAAGAGGGAAAGTAGAACAAGAGATCAGGAGGAGGGGCTGTGGACATGCAGGCAACGTCCTTGCTGGTCCCAACATGGATCTTTAGTATCAGCATACTGGAACTGGTCAGTGCTAGCCAAATTCCTGCAGTTGGGTGAGTTGTGTCAACTGAAGTCTCGGTCATGGCCCTTTCTTGTACAAGCAGAAACTGGAACTGCTGATGCCTGCAGTATGCTTATAAGGAAACTGTGAGTATGTGAGTTCCTTTTATCAGTTCATTAGTACATTTTATTCTAATTCCATTTCATGATTAGTCAGAGTAGTATAAAGTTTTTATTCCCTGTTACAGAATGATCAAGATGAAAATAATAATAGCTAATGTTTACTGAGCTCTTACAAAATGCCAGATACTATTCTAGGTACTTTACATCCTGACAACAAATCTCTGAGGTAAATACTATTACTATTTTACTACTAAACTCCAAGAACAAAGACCATTCTAGTATTTTCTTTTTTTCTAATTTTTCAAAATTTCTTTCTAATTTATTTATTGATTGGGGGAGGGGGGAGGAGAGAAAGATGCATTCATTGGTTAATTTTTGTGCCCTGACTGGAAACCAAACCCACAATCTTGGCATATGGGATAAAGCTCTAACCAACTGAGCCACCCCGCCAGGGCCGTGGTGCATTACCTGGAGCACAGTGGGCATTTAGTACATATTTGGTGAATAAAAGAAATTTTATTGTTGCCAACTTTCTCAGCTGAAAGGAGCACCATGGACTTTAGTGCCAGAGTGCGGGGCTCAGCTGCCAGGCTTTTATGTCCTTGGAGATCAGCCAAGCGCAAGATCCCGGAAAGGAGCAATATGAGCCTGTAGTTCAAATTTCCTAGGCAAGAGCCGCGGGACTGAATGTTTGTTGTGGGCTACCGGGACCCAGAAAACAAAAAGCAGGATTTTGAGGAGGCGAACCCCTACCGGATATGAGCCCAAACATCTAGAAAGCTGAAGCCAGGCAGCCCGGGAGATATGAATACGGGGTCTGCAGCGGGGTCGCCGCTAAGTCCACACTGGGCAAGCAAATCCCGGATCCCAACGCTCTAGCCTAGCGAGGAGGAGACGCAGGAAGTCTCGACTGCTCCCCCCTCCCCCAGGCGTGCCGCCTGCCGGCTTTTTCCGTCCACTCGTCACATCCGACAGGAGCCCTCAAGACTTTTGCTGCGTGGTACTTATATTCTTGAGAAGTTAGATTCACCCCGGGGAGAAATTCCTGGTCTCTTGTAGGCCCAGAAAGGTTTGTTTCAGCTGTCGGGTGGCTGCGTTTCCGTGCGGGGTGGGCTTCCGTAAAGGGAGGCCCCTGCGGGGTCACGGTTGGTTGGCTCCCGCGGCGGGGTCGCTTCCTCCCTCCTCTTCAAGTGGCGCCTGGAAACAGGCGGTAGGCTCCGCGCCTCTGGATGCTATTAGGGGCCCCCTCACCCCCGAGTTGTGAAACCGTGAGTAGCTAACCTTGTCCTTGTCCTTCAGTCCTTGCTAAGATGTCTCAAGATTACAGTTATGAAGATTTGGGGTCCTCTGAAGAGGTGTGACTGGGCACTTTGTTGGTGTTCCTAAGTTACTACACTGTGAGAAGCACCCTGTCCAGATGATGGTAGAATTTTCTGGCTCAGTGGTCATAATTCTTTTTGTCCCGACCACACTTGAGCTCCATACTGGGCTGACTGTACAAATGATTTTCCTTGTAGGGGATGGTGCACGTATATGTGCATGTATGAGTGTCAGTCTTTGTGTATGTGAGAGTGTGTGTGTGTGTGTGTGTGTGTGTGTGTGTGTGTGTTAGCGCGCGCACGCTGTATACTGAGTGTAATTATTAAAACCTATTAAGATTCTTATATTTTGATACTTGCTTCTCCTTTGTCTTCCCCTATCTTCTCCCCATTCTCACCTGAGGGGTTTTGCTCTACTTCAAGGTATTCTATTGGTCTATTTCAACTTTGGATAGAAATAGCAACTTTCTATTTAAACCGCACATTTAAAAAGCAGCCTCTGTTCCTCCTCTGCTCAAAATCTACTGGCATTTCCATTGATTCAGGTAAATAAAAGGTCCTTAGCCTGGCCGAAGACCCTTCAAGGTCGTGGTTCTGCTGAATTTCTCAGTCTCATCTCCTTTCACGGAAAACACACGTAAACATACACACAACTTCATGCCAACCTGCAGTAATTTCATCACTTTGGGTATGACAGATTTATAATGGTTTACCCATGCTTTGAAATTTACATTTTCATTTAGTCAAAATTTATTGAATGCCTAATATTGCCAAACACTGTTTTAGGAGGTGAGGATATCATGGGGAGAAAATACAGTTTATACTCCTTTAAAAAAATAAATAACAGCTTAATTGTGATATAGTTCACATACTCTAGAACTAACCCATTTTAAGTGTACATTGATTTTTTTAGTGCGTTCACAGGATGTACAGGCATCAACAGTTAACCTAAAAATAAAATGTCCTTCAAAGTGAGAGGCAAGAAGCATTTATTTGTGACCAAAGGGTAGCTAATAGGGAAGCATTTATTCAGGCAGAAGCCCAGAGGTATTTATGAGAAAGGGAAGGGGAACAATTACATCAACAGAAGGAAGGCATTTCTGTTGGAGCAGATAAATTAAGATAGTGATGCTAATTCTAAACAATATTTTTAATTTTCAGTTCAGATGTCATCAATCCAGTAGTCATAATATATGCTTTCTTGTTATCTTTGTAAAGAGTTCTTTGGAGCACAATGTTGTTTCCCATCCATTCTAACGATTATTTTGCTCTGTTTTACCACTCCAAGATCTGAGGCATAAGACACACAAGGCAGTTCTTCTGGGATGGCAACTCCGGCTGCATTTTAATGGGGCTCCATTTATATATGTACATTTTTTTTACACCATGATCAAATTTAAAACATTTTCATCACCCCCAAAAGAAACCCTGAACCCATTAGCAGTGTCTTCTGATTTCCTCCCCAATCCCACTGTACTCCTAGCCCTAAGGAACTACTAATCTGTCTATATATTTGCCTACTCTGGATAATTTATATAAATGAAATCGTACAGTGTGTAGTCTTTTTTGTCTTCTTTCACTTAACATTCATGTCATCCATGTTGTAGCAGGTATCAGTACTTCATTTTTTTTATTGCTAGGTAATATTTCATTTTATGGATATACCACCACTTATTTATCCATGGGTCAGTTGATGGATGTTAGGATTGTTTTGGCTAATATGAATAATGCTGCTATAAACATTCATGTATAAGTTTTTATGCAAACATCATGTTTTCATTTCTCTTGGGTATATACCTAGGAGTAGAACTGCTGGGTCTTACGGTAACATTATGTTTAACATTTTGAGGAACTGCCAGACTGTTTTCTAGAGCCACTGTACCATTTTATACTCCCATCAGCAGTATATGATGGTTCTGATTTCTCCACATCCTGATCAATATTGTCAATATTTGTCTTTTTTATTCTAGCCATCATAGTGGGTATGAAGTGTGTCTCATGGTTTTGATTTGCATTTTTCTGATGGCTAGTGATGCTCAACATCTTTTCATATGCTTATTGGCCATTTGTATATCTTCTTTAGAGAAATGTCTGTTCATATCCCTTGTTCATTTTTAATCAGGGTATTATTCTTTTCATCATTGAGTTGTAAGAATTCTTTATATATTCTAGATATAAGCCCCTTATCAGACATATGAAAGTCTTGTAGATTATGCTATAGTTCCTTTAAATGAAAAACACATGAGGTTAATATTTACTCTCTCTGAAGACCGTGTTTAAGGTCTGCAGGGGTAATTCAGTGAGTAAGTTGAGCAACAAGTGCTGTATGTGGAAGACCAGGCCCAGGAAAAAAAGCTGTAAAGAATGTGTGAACAGCATTTTGAGATTAGAAAAAACGAAGCAGGAAGATATAGTTTATATAGTTTGTTCATTCCCTATTGAATTTTGTGTTTTCCTTATTGACTTGTAACAGTTCTCTGAATAGGGATATTATCCTACTGACTGTTGGATTTATGGCAGATATTTTCAGTCTATTTGCCTGCTGAATTTTGTTTTTTATCTTTTACTATACTGATGTTTCACATTTTTTGTATTCAGGGCTGTCAGTGTTTTCCTTTTTTTTAAAATTAAGTTTATTGGGGTGACATTGGTTAATATGATCATATAGGTTTCAGGTGTGGGTTTCTGTGTTACTAGATCTGTATATTGCACTGTGTGCCCACCACCCAAAGTCAAATCTTCTCCCGCCACTATATATTAGGACCTTCTTCACTACCCACCCTTTCCCTCTGTCAACCACCACACTGCTGTTTGTGTCCATGAGTTTGAGTTTTATATCCCACTTAGGAGTGAAATCACATGGTTTTTAGCTTTTTCTGACTGATTATTTCACTTAGCATAATATTCTCAAGGTCCATCCATGTTGTAGCAAATGGCAGTATTTCATCCTTTCTTATGGCTGAGTAGTACCATTGTGTACATGTACCACATCTTCTTTATCCAGTCCTCTATCACAGAGCACTTAGGTTGTTTCCATGTCTTGGCCACTGTGAATAATGCTGCAGTGAACATAGACAACCAAGTGTTTGCTTTTAAAAGGCTTGTGGGTGGTAGTTTGGAATACTGCTGTTAAATTATATGAGTTACAGAAACTGATTTAGGAGTTCCCTGGGTTAGTGTGACAATTGAGTTCCTAGTACATATTTAACTTAGAGTGTTTATTATTTTAGACATTGCCTCCTTATCTCCCTGCCATTGAAGAATATTCTGTAATCTGCTTTAGCTTTGTTGTTTCATTTAATTTTTTATTTCAAACAGACTTGTAGAAGTTATTCCTTTATTCTTTCATTCATATTTAATACACTGTATTAAATTTGTAAAAACTATACTGGACAGTTGGTCATCAAATAGTGGTACTTATTTTATGCTAACGGAAGTTTATTTGAGGATTTAATATGTACAGAGCTTGAATGTAACTATGTTGGTTCTATATTGATAGGGGCATGTTGGGAATAACAGTTTTATAAAATCTTATTAACATTATTTTGATATTTTTCTCATTTCATGGGTTTAAAGGTCATGGTAATTCAAATATTTTTAAGGCTGCTGAACATTTTGAGAAACTGAGGAAAGCTATATTACCATAGCCCTCTAAAAAAGTTCCATCTCTTTATTTTACATACAATTTCGAGGTTTCATTATCTTCCTATGGCCTGATTTGTTAGGAGGATTTTATTTTTCTTGTTCTGTTGTTTAAGTTGTGGTAAAATATACATAACATGAAGTTTAGCATCTTAACCATTTTTAAAAAAATATATGTCTTTATTGATTTCAGAGAGAGAGAAGGAGAAGGAGAGAGAAAAAAAAAAAATCAATGATGAGTCATTGATTGGCTGTCTCCTGTATGCCCCCTCCTGGGGATTGAGCCCACAACCTGGGCTTGTGCCCTGACTGGTAATCGAACCTCAATCTCCTGGATCAAAAGTCGATGCTCAACCACTGAGCCACTCTGGCCAGGCTTTTAATCATTTTTAGGTATATAATTCAGTAATGTTAAATACATTCATATTGTTGTGCAACTATCCCAGCCATTCTCTCCACATCTTTATCTTCCCAAACTAAAACTCTCTATCCATTCAATAACTCCTCATCTTCTCCCCACCACCCAGCCCCTGGCAACCACCATTCTGCTTTTTGTCTCTATGAGTTTGACTATTCTACGTATCGCCTATAAGGTGCTCTTGGCACCTTATAGCACTTGGCATCTACAATGTACTGGAAAGTTCCCCAGATGGATTTGGGTGCTATAGACCCTTGGAACTTGAACATAGCTTAGATTTATATGTGACTTGCTTAGTATCCCATAAATACCAAGATTACACAGATGCTAAGCACCCAGCTCAGCCTGTTTATACTCTAGCTTTTTGAGAGAGGCAAAACACAATAAAATAAAAATGCCTTTATAAGACTTCTTTTCCAGTTACCAGAATCTAAGGTAAATACTGATTCCTAGTTTCCAGTAATAGATGGTTACCTGTCATCAGACCTATCTATGCTAGGGTCAGAGTGAGGTAGTGAGAGCACCATTATTATTGAGATGAGGTGTATCCTGATTATAGTAGTGGTTACACAAATCTGTACATGAGTTAAAGTTCATAGAACTGTAAACCAAAATGCAAAATAGTCAATTTTACTGTGTGCTAATTTTTAAAAAGACAGAATAAGAGGATAAAAAGGAAAATCATAAAACATTAGAACACAAAAGTATTGACAGAAAATTGAACAGTTTTGCCATTTTTAGCCCAAAGGCCTAAAGCCCAAACAAAATTAGACAGGTCCTAATCTGACACAGTATGTTGAAATTTTTAAATATAGACCTAGAAGTGTTTCTTAAAGCTACCAATATGTACTAGAAGTATTTAAATATGTTTCCATATTTCATATTTCAA